TTTGAGAGAGAGAGAGAGAGAGAGAGAGAGAGAGAGAGAGAGAGAGCATAACGATGTACTCATGAGCGCGATGGATAGAACCATATTATAACGCTATGCGTATATGAGGGTTAAGTCAAGGAGGACAGGACCCCAAGTGGAAGAATATTTCTCCTTGCAATGAGCGTCTTGTCTTGGTCGTGGGCCGCTTCATTGGTTCGTACATACACATGAGTAAAGCAAATACCGCGCCTGACCACGCTATCGAAAACGTAATATCATTTTTTAGTTCATTGTTTGTAGCCCATCGACTGAATACTACCAGTTAAAGACCAGGGTAGAGATAGATAAAAGAATCTTAGCCGTAAAAATATTTCCAGAGACTTGTAGAGTGTACTCGCGCCATTGGCCTTGAGGACGAGAGCAATAAAGAAATGGGAAAAGGAGGAAGCACTAAAGACTAAGGGTACGGTCTTGAATTAATACAGAGGGCTTTATAAAAGGAGGAGGAATGGAGGTCTGTTGAGGGGTTGCGAGTAGCGTTCAAAGGGGTGACAATGTTATTTGAAAAGGTAGTAGGGGAGGGGGTGATTAGTGGAGGCACAATGAGGCTATTTGTCCTTATTGACAGGCAAAATATTTTTGTATTACTCGCGGAAAAGGATTTATCCAGTTTCCCAGTAGTAGATGTTAAGCAGTCATGAACACATTGACACATTGGTTTTGTTTTAAAGAATAGCAGAAACACAAATTTTCAATCAAATTCGAAAGGAAGACCACACTTTTAGATAGGCTAGAAGGTTTGGGGTACTATAAACCCACAATATTCTAATTTTTCACGTGAACTGTCTTTTTTCACACGGATTTTATTCTAAGCAATATAATATTATGGAACGGTCAGGAAGGTACTTTCCAAAATTGCACCACCTAAAAACGAGCAGTATTGAAATAACCCTGTTTGGAACTTTTGTTTTGACAAAAGGCAATGCTTACAGGGCAAATTACATTATCTGAACTGTTTTTTAAAGCTAGCACAAAATCATGAGTTGCAAAAACATCGTCTTCTTACCGACGTAATCGGTAAAAATGAATAAATATGCAAATCGAGCAGCTCACGAGTTATTCAGAACTAACTCAGAGCGCATTTCTCATTCGAAAAAATGATTGTAGTAGATAATTAAACAACCAGTCACTACCACCTCCCTTCTGCAATTCAAAACAGGATTTGCAACAAGGCAATTATTTAATACTGAGTACTTTCCTGTCCTCAGTGTTTGGGCCCTGGTATCGGTGTCTTCGCCCTAATTAAACTTAAAAGTTAAGTTCATGCTTTCACTTCCATCCCATAGACAATGTGAATTGTTATCGATTATTAAGTCCTTCTCCTGAGATGTATTCACTGCACCATAAGATAACCCTAACATGTAGGATCACACAGCCCTTTCGCTTAATCGATCCTTTTTTCCGTCTAGTTCCAAATGTTGGTCCATTAATTACGAATTCAGCGCAACACTGACTTCTTTAACTTCAGAGTGAGTCTGAGAGAAACAAAAAAGGGGGAAATTGAGCTTGCTATTACGGACAAACGATGGTAAGAATTTCGTAGGGAGGCCTGGAAACGAATGAGATGTTTTAAATGGTTTGGTGGATAGTGCTGCAGCTCTTGATGTTCCTGCTTCGTGCAGCCCTGCATGATTTAAACTGTGTTGAGAGGACCGAAAGCCATTCACGACTACAAAAGGGACCGCTGATGAGAATACTCCCAAGCCCCCCGACTGTTTCCCCTGGACCGCGGGCGAGCATGTCCAAGAGCGAAATGACCTAGAACTAAACAATGGCCTGTCGATGTTTCCCCAAACATATTTGTGTTTTCGTGAACCATTTATTACTTTACTTTAGATATTTCGCTTCCGACTTTTGGCAATTCAATATTTTAAAGTGGAAAACAATAAAACAGAGTTTAAAATGGTATTTAACCGAACCCGAGGTGTTTGACGTAATTTGTAAGGACGCAGACGGTGTTGATTCGGACAATGGACTTGATCATTTGGCTCGGGAGTCTTCAAATCGAGAAGAAAGTGATGAAATTGTTGTGGAACCAGTTATCATTGATTGAGGGGCAGTTTACTTCATAAGTAGATCTAGATATAGTCTTTTATCACTGTTAAGAACTGACTCTGGGCAAATGTTTACTATTATATAATTAATTACACCTAAATGACTCAAACCAAATTAAAAAAAATATCAAAGTGTGTTTTAGTAATGGGAAACCTAGACTATTATTCTAAACATTTTTGTGAAGTTTCATTTTAATAACTTTATTAGGTGCTGAGTATTAGAGTAACATATTTTGCATAGCCAATAAGTGGGCGTCAGATCCGGTACCAGGGGACTGAAAGTCCAAGTCCGGTCCTGCAGGTTTAACCTACGTCTTTGTCCAGGCACTTGGTGTAGTCCGTCCACTCGTATAACTGACCGCTGCTGTCGTTTCCATGGCCAGACCAGGTGCCGTTGCTGGTGCAGTGCTTCTCGGCGTAACCTGTTGAGGAAAAGTGAATGTGGGGTAAAAATGCACATCTGGCGAGGGAATATGAAAGGAAAAAAATTCAGCTGCCGAACAGGCATCCAAAAAATAAAATCAATGAATCAAAAAGCAGTAATAACTTAAACGAAACTGAAATAACAATGACTACATAAAGGGCAACAAACATAACTTTTTTCCTCTCTTTCTGTCTTTGTCCATTTCTCTTTCTCTCCTCCTCCTCGTCCTTACCCTCCATCTCTCTTTCTTTCTCTCTCACACATAAACAAACACAGGCACACACACATACACACACAAACAAACACACACACATACCCTCTCTCTCTCTCTCTCTCTCTCTCTCTCTCTCTCTCTCTCTCTCTCTCTCTCCCTCTCTCTCTCCTACTTTCACGACAAGCATTCTATCTAACAATATGCGTTCTTGTGCAGTATCTCAGTTTTCGTACAGACGAATGTATTTACCCCCCCCCCTCCCACAAAAATACAAAAGCACAAAGAACCCCCTCACAACAAATCACCCCCACCCCCGAAAAAAGAAGGATAAAAAAATGACGTCGCATGCTTTTCATCCTGCAGTTACCTGACTTCTATTCTTCTTTTGCAAAGTAACCATTAAAACGTCAGTCATTAAAGAAGTAACGTTGACAATGGAACTTATTGAACGATCTAAGATGTTAATTACATGAAGAAAAAAACCTAAACAAATTAAGAGCTCTAAAAAGTCTCTGAGAATAGGATACAGGCTGGAGGATAATGGTGGCATACCCAGATTTTACACCTCGTTCTACTTAATGATGATAGATTAATTCTGCGCAACAGACAGAGACTTAAATGAATCGACAAGAGAACCGCTTAACACCGGTGGGCGCAGGATTTCCTCAGAGATGGAGTAATACAGGGACATTAATCTTTTCCAAGTCTACAAATTGTCAAGCTGACAATAGTCAGTTATGGATTGTTTTACAAGATGGCTTCTTGTCTGTCTAAGGCATGAAACAGAACTTCATCAACTGCGTTGGGAAAGCCCAGGATGCCACTTTTATGGAGTTAGGTAATTTGTATACAAAGAGCAGGAGCAACGCTTGTTCCAAAAGAACCGTTATTTGAGAAAAGAAACAAAACATCTGCATCATAGCTGAATGTTACATCTGTAACACCGAGTACAAATAGCCAACAGCGCTTATCCAGGGAGTGCCGTATTTTGCGTGCAGTCTTTGGGATCATAATTTCTTAGCGTACAATTCAAATTCGGGAAACATTAAATTAGAAACTTAACAAACCAAAACCAAATGGAAAACAAATTTGACAGTGCACAGTTTCAAAATTTAGATTCTAAGAGTATGCGTCGGTGGCCTAGTGGTTAGGCTACCAGACTCGTAATCGTGAGGTTGCGGGTTCAGGGATACGAGCCGCGGGCCCGACGTTGTGTCCTTGGGAAAAGCATTTTGCACGAATTTTCCTCACTTCACCCAGGTAGGAATGGCTACCCGGCCAAAGACAGCGAAAAATCTTGTCAGTATGTTAGTTGTTTTAGCGCCTATAAATGACTGCTTGCACTATATGCTTCGAAGGAAGTTAAGGTCGTTTCAGAATGCTGTCAGGTCTGCTGGGGTTATTGTATAGATTGGTCTCTAACAATGTTCTGTCGTCTGCTTTCGTGTCCACTTTTTGCCCCCGCTCCCTAACCTCCTTAACTCCTTCCTCTGAGTTCCTGACTCTTTCTGCAGCCTTTCTACTGCTTCTCCATGGCTCCTTCCTACTGCTGTCTTTCAGCCACACCCCTGATCTTCTGGTAGGAAAGATCTACACTTAGCCTTCTCGGACAGGGGCGAAAAATCTCGGAGGTCCCGGTGCAAGCAGCGCATGGTAAACATCCCTTGGTGGACCAAAATCGATAAGAGTAGGCTTCGGCCGCCACCCAAGCAAAATTCCAAATTTTCTACGAACAGAAAATGTTTAGTGTGTTCCGCGCGCTCATGTGACCTTATGCAGTTGCGAGAGCCGTAAAACACTTGCCCCCCCCAAAAAAAAAACAACAACACAAGAAAATAGACAGTAGATATCAGAGCACATGTTCAAACATTGACACAACTGAGGCACTGCACTTCCCCATTTCTCCTCACGATGTTCGTGCTTTGTTCATGCGCATTCTTTATTTGGTCACTGCTGAGCAGTGAGAAGCATTCTCGGCATATTAATAAACACGGTGAGTTTTAGTTATTTTCTTTTAGATATCTATAAGACGTCACAATAAGCAGTTTCTTGTATTTCTGCAACGCAGTGGTATTGAACGAAGTCCGTCAGCAACGATATTAAAAGAAGAGTTTCACTGGAAAGTTGTTCAAAATCACACATTATTCCAAAGAGCTTTTGTAGCTCGTTCCAGAATTTTGGTTAAACTTTTCCAGTTATGTGATTTCTTTGCCACTTTGGGTGAAGAGGAGGAAATCAGACACGGAGGTAGAGTGGGCTTAATGATTGAGCATTGATTGGCTCATCGGATCTCAATCCCTTCACCTCCAGATCTGCTCTGTACTCATGTATATCCCCAGAGCCCCGAGTCAAGAAGTGAAGTGTTTGTCCGGTGTCGATCTATTCTTCGAATCATGTAGGCTTATCAAATTTGTAAGTGCTGGCGTTGTCCTTGAGAAAGGCAGTTTACACGAATTTCCCCCCACTTCACCACGGTGAGAATGGGTGGCTGGCTGGAGACTAAGAACCATTTTGTCAGTTTGTTATTGTTTGAGTGATCAATCAGGAGCTTGCACTGTATGCTTCCTGGGAAGCCGAGTGGGCTTTCTGAGCGTTCTTGGGTTTGCTGGGGTAACAATATAAATTGTATAGCGCCTGATAAGCAGGAATATGCGCTATACAAATGCTATATTATTATTATTATTATTATTATTATTATTATTATTATTATTATTATTATTATTATTATTATTATTACTAAGGCAAAATCAGAAAGCGTGCTATTCTTCCCTACAGCTTAGTGCATAGGATTTGCCTTACTAATGAGATAATACGTCTCTGATGTGGTTGCGATTTGAGATATTCAATCTTTATTTTGTGTGTGTCCAGCACTCTTCCTTCCCTTCTCTCCCTGTGTTTTCCCCATCTCTCTCTCTCTCTCTCTCTCTCTCTCTCTCTCTCTCTCTCTCTCTCTCTCTCTCTCTCTCTCTCTCTTTCCCTCTCTCGCGTGTTGTTTTCTCTGTTTCCAGAATTTGTTACTTGCAAACAAAGTAGTGATCTACCGACCGCCCCTCTCTCTCCCTGTCTCAATGTATACATGTCTGTGAGTTCTTTAAGAACCAATCACATCCTATGGCGAGAAGTTAGGCACACGGGGGGCAGATAAAAGGAAAACTAACATTCGTGAAGCCTGAAATTGTCCTAGCAGATTATGGACTCAGATCTAATATTATTTCAAACAAGATGGTAAACCCAAACAACCGGTGCCATGTCTGAAAGGACGTTGAACTTCGGAAAAAGAATTAGACGTTTTTCTCTGTTGACCCTTATAGTCATTGTAAATCTTTTTTTGCTATTAAAAAGGGGAGGGACAAAACACGTTCCCCTCTTGTTAGTTTCAGATTTTCTCAATTAATGGGGATCAATCAACTGACCATGTAGATACATTAAAATGATCATTATCAAGGTGTACCTCATGTAACGGGGCTCTCTCAGCCCAACTCTATACATCATCAGAACGATAGGTTTAGAGTATGTTGATTGAATAACATCCCAACGACATGCACGGCAAGGGAGCTGAGGTTTAGAAGAGATGAAGTCCAGACCTGATCTGATTATATTTTCTTCCAGCAAATGCAATATCAGTTTCAATTTCTTAGAAAAAAGATTAGGACAACACTTTCCCCTCAAAACGGCCCAGGTGCAGACAACCTTAATAAAGGATCAGCCAACCGCCTCCGGTTTAGAAGAACCCTTCCTACCCACCTTTTTCGCCCTCTGCCTGAGGTGTGAGTCCTGGAAACATCTGAGACCCCTGAGAGCTAGCTAGGGGGGAGGGGGGATGTTGGGAGACAAACATAATACATGGAATCTTAAATGTGAAGGCTGCTAGTTCGACAAGTCAGGAGTGTACAATCGGTTCACAGAAACATTGTTCGACCTGGATACATTTTGCTTGCACGGCCTTTATGCAACTGTAAAAGTATTTAAAACCTTATCAGGCGTCATTCAAGCACATGTTTCTGAGCACGCGTGGAATCTGTTATGCTCAACAAGTATGATCTCACACTCTGAGTTTAGGTTTGTGTACCTGGACAGAGGAAGGGGAGTAAATCAAAGCTACCTGTCAACACACCAATCAGCACAAAAACAGTCAAATCAAGCCCGGTCAGGTCATTTACAATCAAGTGATCAATTCATGCGCACACGCCCTAACGCACACAGTTCAGCATTAGCAAGGAACAAAAGCAAAAGTTCCACTGACTTAGTTTACATTCTAAATTTCCAGTGGGTTATCAAATTTAATTTCACTATCGATAACACCGCTACCACCATGTCATGTTAGTGGCACAGCTCATTATGGCATATTCTTGAGCACACTGCGAGAACTTTACTGAATGGCCTACAAACGGACTTCTCATCACGGTGAATAGTAAAGCTAAATTTTGCAGTATTGTCAATATCGCTTCGATCTTGTAGGATTTTTTTTTACGTTTGAGAAACATCTAAATAATCTAATGTAGATATCGCAGGCATCATTGTTACCAAACTTTCGCTGCTCGGATAGAATTGCTTTCTCATTGTTTTGTCATTTATTGGAAATTGCTCTGGGTTCCCTCATGGGAATGACGCAAATCTGAAATATCTCTTCTCAAACAGCGTGGTAGTTGTCAATACAGTTCAATACTATCACCAGAGACTATCACTCGATACGGCTGAACTCATGTCCCAATCCCACAATCCCTCAACGACCAATCAGAAAGTCGATAAAACCGGGGCGGAAATTGAGAGAAATGTAATCCCAT